TTTTTTTTGTAATTATACATGAAGAAAGCTATATGTCGGAGTAGTTCAACTACGCAAGTACGATCTGAAGTCGGACACGGAATGCTGAAGGCGCTGGTTCTTTGTATTAATAATTATAACGAACTAGTAGAGTAATTTCACGAAAAATAATTGAATATCATGGTAGTTTCAATTCATTATTTATCAATTAAATTCAATAATTCAACTTTTCTTGTTTATATTATTAAAGTAACATGGCATTTGAAACCTCTTTCATATAATATAATTCATATAATTCAACAAAATTTAAATGCTACCTACAAACATTACTGTGTTTACTATGTTTTACATCATATTTTTGTCTTTGTCCAGAAAAATTACATAGAAATGACGTTTGAGGTATTCATTCTAAAACGACGATGAGTAATTACGAGTATAACATTGTTATTCGTACATAACAATCCCGGTTTCAGTTTACATTTCATATCATGAAAGCCAATCAACATCCAGTAAATTAATCCGAAATTAACATTAACCAGTGCATTTTCAGTTCTGAAATGAAAATATCAAACGGGATACAAAATCATAAATATTTGTTCCATTACAAGTCTGTAGGCAGAAATAACCTCCATGTGATGTGGCTAGATAGACGTCGTAAACTTTCTTGTTTAATCTTCTATGTGGAAATTCGTAAAAATGATTTTAAATGTATTTTCGACAACATAGTAAATATTTGTTTTGGCTAAAATGCCTGGAGACACTTGAGATAAACACTGATAATGTTCAGACAATTAAGAAGACAATAGTAATAATTGTTTGTAATTAATATTAAGGTGTAGTCCTACCACGATATTAATTTCTTTTTTGTGAAATTACCCTACTTCTACTCCACAAGGTTCGATGAACTAGTGCCAGAGAAAATTCTCAGTAATTCAATTCACAAATTAATTCTGTGAAGAAAACTGTCTATTTATTAATAGAACAAATGGGAAAATAGGTAGCTGTAGTTCTGTCAACAGAACTGTATCAGAACTAGTGGGAATAAAGGAATCTAACAGGATACGAATCTGCATCTGTGCCATATTAGGGCGACCGCTCTACCAACTGAGCTACAGATTGTGTTAGCGGACCTATGATTTTTTTGCATTTGTTTTTTTTTTCACCGCAGACGGCGCTGCGGTGAAAAAAAAAACAGACGTGAGAAATCTATGACAGTTTTTTCTCCAATACCTCGTCTGTCAGATCGGAGGAATTTTTCTTTATGTTCGATATTTGTATTAAAAATGAAATAGAAATTATTGCGGAATTATAAATACGCATAACATGAAAAAAGGATGAGTGTATAGTTCCTCAAATAAAAAAAAAATGACGCTCGAGTCGAAAATTAATGGCTTTTACTTTTTAGCGTTGCTTGATCCAAAACACAACGTGAACATCATTGACTTACAATTATATGGACGTCGGGTCCGCGCTAAAAAGTGTCCGCACTTGTAAGGCGCTAAAATCGTATACAGAGCGCGACACTCCGCTTTAGTCTTCATTTGATCTACTGACAGCGCGATACTGCGATGATATTACAATTTAAATTTCGAATAGGTTGACTTGGGACATTTTTTTCGTGGTTTTTGTATTAGACCCGTCGTCCATTTATTTGTAAGTCAATGGTGAAACCAGTTACTTTACTAAATAAGTTCAGTTTTTATTTAATAAAGATAATTTTAATTAGAGGAAAAATTAATCAGCAGTGTTTTGAACAGTTTTGGCTACACTGGATGCAAAAAAATAAACGAAATAATTGTGATCATTTTCTCTTAATTTTTCTTTTCAAATTAGCTAGTTACAAATATGTGTTTAAAAATATATTATTACGTGTTGCAGGCGACTGGCATGACGCCACTCATGTACGCCGTGAAGGACAATCGCACCTCGTTCGTAGAGCGGCTCATCGATCTTGGATCAGACGTCGGCGCAAGAAACAATGTATGTATTTCTACCAATTTTTATGTCCATTTCTCTCAAACAATCACATTTCTACATAGATTTTAATCACATTTCTTTATTTCGAACGCGGCTACAGAATGAGCGTGCAATCTATCTAAATCATACCTTTGGTATACCTAATCATGGATCTTATAACACAAGAGAACTGCTAGTCTCCATGCTACAGATTGTAGCTCTAAAAATAGTCAAAATTTCGTCTTATGTCTAGATGGCATTGATCAATACCTAGCCTGCAATTAATTTATATTGTATAATGGCCGTGGATATCAAATTAATTCCTCTTTAATATGAAATTTAAGAAGTCAGTTTATTTCCTTGTAAATATTATTGAAAATATTGATCATGAGGTAACATCATTATTTGAACTTTGACAAATATGCGCGTCAATAGATGGCATTGTGTGTTACAAACAAATTTATAAGTTACCGCTTCCTAATACGGATAGATGGCGCTAATCCTACACAAAATAAAAGAACATAATTTTGTGAGTTGTGAGTCGCGTAGTTTGAGTTGCGTAGTTTGCGACGACGCAAAATGATTTATCTGCCGACTCATGGGCGTCGACTGACTTTCGGTCGCATCGTGTGACGGGCTGGCGCGAGTGGAGGTAGGGGTGACGGAAGGGGTCACTTTGGTATAGGATGCGCATGAGTATAGACGTTTCTTGCGAAAATGTTCATTCGGAGATTAAGATATAAATAATTTAACAACTTACTTAATTGTTATGATTAGTCTTTCCTCTGGACTGATGGCTTGTCTCATATTTGTGACTGACTTAGTAATAAAAGATTTTAGCCGGCTCAATAATTCTTGAAAACATTTATTGGAATGTGGTAGTACTTAACAAATTGTTCTGGATTTTCACATAAATTTGTACATAATGAAACTGCCTATACTTTAATCGTTTCATATTGAGTGGATGTACCCAGATTCTTTTTCTAACATCGTCTTCCAATGTTTCATAAATGCATACTATTTTCAAACGATCCATTACACCATTACGACACAAACACTCCGTATAACGCTTAAAAGCAACTGAATAAAACTCGTTTGTCTGTTCGTCGAATTTCCGTCGAGCGCAAACACAAAATTACGCTCGTCTGGCCTCATCCTAAAAGTCTGCGCAATAAGCGCCATCTAGTTGATTTGTTTGTTATCACTAGAAATTAAAATAGCTTTGATGATAAATTGCAGCTTGTCGATGGACCAATAGGTACTTAATACCCGACTACGCTGTCTTGAATCGCGATTAACAGCAGTATTGAGTTGTTAGACCATGATATAATAAAGCCACACGGGACTATCTATACGTCAAAAGTTCTTTTACGACATGAAAGTCATAATAATAATTGAATTACATGAAACAAATGAGACATTTTGTAACTCTCGTATTTAACTATAAATAAGTTATCGACTATCCCTAATATGCACAAAATAATAGAATTCTCCCCTTTCGTGCAATAAAGCCAGAGGCCTTACCATGAACTCTTATAATAGTATAGGTTCGTAACGACAAAACAGCGGGATGGTGAAATGCACTTCATGTAGCGCTGTCTTACAGCGATTCATTTGATATCCCAAAGTGAATCGTAATAAGAGTTCATAGTAAGACCCCAGATTTGCAAATTGATAACTTTTCAATGAGAGAGAGGAGCCTTCTCGCACCGCCTTTCCATCTGGCGCACCGTGGGCAACGATCGGCGAATACCTTACACTGGTTGTCAAATACTTTCACCACGAAGGCAAACATATCTGGATCGCGATAATATAATGTATGCTATCGATGCGATAAGAAGAAGAATGAGATAGGTTTAAAGATTCTACGAACAAAATTAGTTCAAGGAACTTTTTAAAAAAGGTTGCGAATTAAATAACTTAATTATTCTACTGGTAGCTAGCCGTTTGGCCGTGTTAGCTTTATAAGTTTTTTTATGTTTAAGAGTCTTGAACCTCGAATGGCTTTGGTTGATTCTGCATAACAGTGAAAGTGATGAATCAAACGCCTTGGAAAAAATGTATAGCAAAATTGAGGATATGCACTGATTAGTATACGATGTGAAAATGCGATTCCTAAAAAGCTTCACGATAGAAAAAAGCACAACCTTAACTCGAAAGTATACAAGAAAACCGCTGTATTCAATAGCTAGTTTACATATACCAATGATTTTATTCATATCAACTGAGCTAAATAGAACACTCGTGTACGATATATATTTTTTTTCGTTTTGGCTTTATTTTCGTTTGTAAAAAAAATAAATTCTGAAAACCCTGCCGTTCGACCCGCGCAATAGAATCGATTCAATACGGGAAAAATTTTAATTCGGACTGAGATAGTATCGACTCTTAAACAGGAGAGTTATTCTTCTATTACATTTCATGAGTTGTTTAATCATGAGTTATTTCATTAACATAATTTGTTTCATATAGTTCGTTTTATTTGTTTAACTTTCCTGCGATAAAAGCACTTTTGAAGTATGATCACATGTGGCTTTATTCTACCAAAGGTACGATTTATATATTACTATTGAATCTAATTTACTTACGATTTTAAAGCGATAATAAATTCTTATTACATAAATATCGATAACTTACAACTCTAGTGCTACCATTTAAGGGTCTAAAAGGAACTTGTTATTTACGATTAATATGTCATAATTTCTCGTGTAAATTACACAGAATTTTATGGAACATTAAAACAAGCAGATGTTATTTGTGGTGGCATAACTACATTGCAGTAGATAATTTTAGTGGCCACAAAAATGGCTGCTACGAAAATTTTCCTCGTTTTTATGAGACGCAATATTTTATTGCTTACGTCATGAAAGTTTGCTCTAATTTCGTGAATAAGAAACGTTACAAACATTCTTAGTAATTGAATTTCTTTGGGTTACGAAGTTAAGCAATCTTGGTTCCTAAAATAGTATTTTTGCATGTAACCAAGTTTTATTTGCGAAAAATAATAATGTCGTTATATGAATAGATCAAGAAGTAGGTAAATCTTTACGATCATTTGAAAATTGTCATCTTTAACTTTCGTGATAATTTTTAAGCTTCTGTCCATTTTACTCTACAGTACAAACATTTTTTTTAATATCCCTCGGCAATCTTCGGATCTCCGAATGCATTTTTAAGTCCATTAATTTTATTAGATTATATTTATACACGTAATAATTTGAATTCAGAAATATGTACTTTATTCTTATTTCTTTTTTATTTCCATAGGAATTACGTAGACTTTTAAAGCTATTTCCCTTTTTGTAATAACATTTACTCCTTAAAGTTGAAATCACCTTCCTTAAAACACACTTTCGGGCTCTGCAGTACCCGTGGCCACGGCTGACTGAGGTGTCTAACTAAATTCTAATTCTCTATCTAACTAAAGTCATAAACTTGTGATATTTTATATTAATGCAAAGCACCCTATTTTTCACTATACTATAAAGGGCAAACTTTGGTTTGTTTGAAAAAACATACGTGATTTGTATCGGATAAAAATAGTTTTATTTTTCAAAATTTACTCTTTACCATACAGGCATATGCCTACGTGGATACAATGAAAACAAATTCAGATGTAGCAACTTTTTGTTTTAGACTGTAATGGTTGAAAATATATTCTTAAATTCATTCTATAGGCCACTAGGTTCCATAGCGTCACATGTAATCATAATGTTCGATCTAGCTATGCGTCCATAATCGCGTTACGCCGCTCCAAATGGAGCAAGAAATCAATTTACACTTGGCTGTAATTATGCGCTATGTATACATATGTATGCCTATGCGATCAGTTCGGGGGTATGGTAATAAAATTTTAAGGGCATTAAATCAAGTTTGTCGACCAAAACACATTTATATTTTTTCTTATATGATGATGGTCTTTTAACAAGGTTGAAAATATCATCCATATATTCTTTATATATCCTATAAAATCAATTTTATACTCATGTCATCAATGTTATAGTCATGGTCTTGGGTATATGTATTAACAGTCGTGGTAGCCTAAGGGCGCGCTCCCATTATGTCGTAACGTTTTGTTTGTCGTTGGACGACTGTCGCGTCTAGCCTGTTCCCATGTCACGACTATCTGTCGTGACTGTGTCGTAGACGTTTATTTTATCGTTGAACGACTGTTTTGTGTAGCTGTTCCCACTAGATCGTGATGACAATTTATTGGTTCACGGCAACCGCTTTGTCGTTTGCACGACGGAATTGTTTAAAGCTGCGATTATCTGTCGTCACGTTTTTATCGTTTGTTTTGTTTATCGTCGAACGACTGTCGTTCTAGCTCTGCCAATTGTCACGACAGTCTGTGGTCGTAACGACAAAAAACAGTTAATCGTATTTGCTATAATGTGAACAACTTCATTTAAGTATACAAGACACGACACTTTAAACAGCATGATATCTATCACTACGACATAATGGGAACGTGTTCTAATGGTTAACGCCTCTCAAACAGAGGGTTGTGGATTCGAATTCGTACTTATACCTCTGAGTTTTTGGTAATTTATGTGCGAAATTAAATTTGAAGAAACACACCTATCATCGTGACGAAACCTGACATATGTAAAAGCTGTTTAATGATGCGTGTGAAGTTGGGCCCGTGTGGGAACTATAATCCTTTCATTGTGAGAGAAGGCCTCTTCTCATATATAGACTAACTACTATATTAATGTATTGGATCCTTTAAACATTGTAATGTTTTCGTATATTAGAAAATAAGAGGCAAAATAATAAATAACATTTCTGTAGAGCAAAATTTTGTAAAAAAATAACCGCACGAATTCAAGTACCATCGCCTACAAGTTATGGCGACTCAGCCGGCACAGATGCTTGATAAGAAACATTTATGCTCATGACCTGGTGAGGCATGGTGGTGCCTAACTCAACCAACCTACACATTTACGGGAAAATGTAATTTGTCTTATTCCAAACCTCCTTCAACTTTGCCTAACTTTGTCTGACCTCAAGTCTAATTTATGTTAATAATGCTGCCCACACGCAAATATGGAAAGAGAAGGCACCTTTGGTAACACACTTGCACCACTTTGTAAGGAAATTATTGTTATTAAGTTGGAAATGGTGCATGCGTTGCACTATACTATGTCACATTTATTGAATATTTTCTATTCGTTCGCAAACAAATATAGTTTTCGAGAAATAATTTGCTGCGTACTTTTTTATGTTTATGTATCTAAGTTTTAAAAAACATTTTTTAGAGACGGGATGAACGAGTCGTGCACCTGGTGGTTAGAGAAACACAGGTTCATAAAAGTTGCAGTGCCACTCAGAGTTTTAAACCCCAAAGATCCGAGGGGCACTGCCACCGCTCCCGTCACCTTAAGACATGAGTTGACAAGTCCCAGTGCCTGTAATTTCACCAGCACCTCTACCCTTTAAAATCGTAACGCAGCAATGCTCACATTGCTGCTTGGAGGCAGAAATAGGTAAGGTGGCAGTACTTCCCTCGACGAACTCTTTCACAAGGAGCTTATATTGTTACTAAATGTGTAATTCACTAAAACGTTCACCAATCAAGGCTTACTCATTCTGAACTACATCATTTCCTGCGATTTCTTAACTGGATGACAAAGATTTACAACAAAGGTCAACGTACTGGTGCCACTGACTCATTCCTGATTCAGGGACCCTGACATTCCGAAAAAACACAGCGTCAGCGAGTTTGAAGCGAAACAATTGGCAAGGACCGATTCACGCACGCAACACAGGAATTAGGCGTCTGTTCCACTCAAGAGGGTTAAACAGGGGTGGACAAGGGGTAGGGGGTGTTAATTTTCTATGTTAATAGCTGAGTAACAGTTTATTAGCACCTGCCATTCATTTAAGAAATAAAACGGGTCACTTGCCTGATTACAAAATGTAGAGTTGCGTAGGAAAATTCTTGGCATTTTTATTGCCTCCATAATAAGGTTTATCGATGTACTTTTCTTTTTCTTGTCTGGATTATTTAATTTCTGTGTTTACTTTTAACTAAATTTACAATTTATGAGAAGATAAATGTACACTGGCCGTTTCATATAACAATCTTTTTCACCTACCTAAAACATTGTGAAGGGGACTCCTACCTCAGGAAAGGTTATAGCTTGTCCGATGTAAGAGCTTGAACTATTCTTGCGCGGTTGGTCAACAATTTTGCTGTACACATTACTCAGTCAGTCAACGCGACAAGGGTGTAGATATAATAGCTAGGGCCGTAGTCGTCGGAGGCAAAGCACGCGATGTTAGTCGCAAAGAAACATTGCACGTGAGCTACCAAAGTACTGCTAATGGATTTAATGCTTCCTTACGACTGTTTATATACAAAATGTTAACAATGTCTATACATTGTTAACATTTTGTATATAAACATGCAGACAACTTTTTGCAAACAAACCATATTTCCAACTTCTTCTTATCGTCTTGATGGCAAACACTATAATGCTTGCCGTCACGTGCCAATCGGCGTAAGGTACTCACAGCTTATTGCCCAGTGCTATATTTTATGATACCAAGTACAACTAAGGCCTAACTAAAGATGTTTTGAGAATTTATATATCTCATTTCGTTTCGGAAATACAAAAAACGAACTACGGACGATCTGACATCCACAGATCTGAGAACAAGTAGTCTTGCATATGGATCTTTGTTCTACGGATGATTCGGTTGGTTTATGTTGTTAGTAATATAAATAACTCTGTATATGTATAACAATATGCATTAAATTCATTTTTTACACAGAGCGTTTACGCACAGCATACGCTTCGTATTAGTTCCGAATTCGAGACAGTACAAATCTAGAAAACTCGGACCGACTTCGCCCGGTAATCGCTTGTGCACTAAGTGCGATTCAAATCCGAGACAATACGAATATCGCTTTTACACGTACAGATAAAAAGATCCTGTGACATTTCAAATCGTCATTACTCGGATTCGGAACTGGGGGTCTACTCTCGATCTCCGTCAACAATTACTGTCAAATAAGCAATACTTGACCAAAAGAAAAGACGCGTGATGCGAATGAAGCTTCATACTTGATACTTGTCTTTTAATTTTGTCGAATATTACTTATTTGACAGTAATTGTTTCGGACGGATGTCGGACGGAGATCGTGAGTAGACCCCCTGATACGAATCGGACGTAGTACATATACTCTCTGAACACAATTACGGAAATGATGAAACTATAAAAGTCGCCATGACACATGCTTACGTCATAGACAAATATATACACACTGTATATATTTGTGACTACGGTCCAGACATACATACAGACAGACAGATACACAGGTAAAGGCTTCAACCCCTCTCATTTCGCATCGGGGATTAAAAAAAACACTGGAGTTTGATAATTTACACTTAATAGATTGTTTGTAATTCTTGTTCACTGTGACTTTATCGTATATTTTCCAAATCTCTAGCTACATAGTTGTGGTAGTACTGTAATCTGACTATCTTCCTCCATTCCCAGGATAACTACAATGTGCTGCACATATCGGCTATGTACTCGCGAGAGGATATTGTCAAGCTACTGCTGGCCAAACGAGGAGTTGACCCTTTTGCCACCGGGGGAGTGAGTATATCAGAAAATCACTAATTATTCAGTAGGCGACAAAATATAGTTGCTAAAACATGGGACCTGTTAACTAAAAACATCCGGTTTTCTAAGGATAATATTTCAATTTTGACGACCATTGTGGTCGAGTAATTTGCACACCGGTTTTTACCTCTGAGGTCCCGGGTTCGATTCCATGTGAGGTCAATGATCCAGTTAATAAAAATCTGCACAGTAAGACGTATTTAATTTAAGGTATTTAAGTAAATACCTTAAATTAAAGTAAAAATAGCACCAAATTAATGTTTATTTATAAGAAATGAGCGGGTAAACATTTTTTTTTCTAAAATTCATAATTTTTTACGACAGCGTGCAAAGGTTACTTCATCACACTACATTTGCTAGAGACGGGTATATCGATAAAAGTTTTCGATCATAGAATCATTGACTTACAATTATATGGACGTCGGGTCCGCGCTAAAAAGTGTCCGCACTTGTAAGGTGCTAAAATCGTATACAGAGCGCCAAACTCCGCTTCAGTCTTCATTTGTTCTACTGACAGCGCGATACTGCGATGACATTACAATTTAAATTTCGAATAGGTTGACTTGGGACATTTTTTTCGTGGTTTTTGTATTAGACCCGTCGTCCATTTATTTGTAAGTCAATGCATAGAATGAATAAATTTATATTGCGTGAATTTTTAAAATTTAATTGTGAATTTGTGTATGTATCTACAATCATAGTCGCAATTAAATTATAACATTTATTGCAGAGCCGACAACAAACTCCGGTGCACTTGGTGGCGAGCAGGCAGACAGGCACGGCCACGAGCATCCTGCGCGCGTTACTCACTGCTGCCGGCAAGGACATACGACTACGACCAGATGGGGTCGGTAAATTTTTGTTGCCGCCAGTTTCTATCGTTTGTTTTTTTTATAATATCAAGTGGCGGGACGAACAAGGCGGGCACGTGGTGGTAAGCGGGCGCTGAATTATTTTTTTATTGTCCAAGTGGGCGATGCGCGTTTGGGAACTTATGTTCTACTACTATCTTTCTAACCTCACATACATCAACTACCCTTTTCATACAACTTCTTTTATTCTTGTCACTTCGTGTTGGTTTATAATTGAAACAACGTTGGATGGATATATTTTCTTATTAAATAACACGTCCATACAATGAATGACAGAGAAGCAAGAGTAATCGTAATGTCAAGATGACATTAGCTTTTTAATAGCCAAGTGTACATTTACAACGCTTGATACGTTTTGCGTTTACAAAGAATGCTAACACTTCGGCTCCCTGCCTTTTTGAGGACTTCACTGATCTGATCAATCTGTAAGTCCTTCTGTGAAGTCTTCTTAAAACCGTTGCATCCATATTCGCATCATAAATCGGTTTGATAATTCTTCTTACATCTATCCACTCTACATGCCCCAACCGCATCAACTTTCTTTGCCATTTTCTTATTTTTTCATAATACCAGGTGACGGGACGTACAAGTCGTGCGCCTGGTGGTAAGCGACACGCTTATCCATAACAATTGCAGTGCCACTCAGAGCTTTAAATCGCAAAGATCTTATGACGGACCAGTTTGTCGCTAATATCATAGTAGAATATTTCATTCATACGTAGCAGCGCGGCTTATAATAATATGTTGACTATTTACTATACTAAGACAGACATTGATAAAATCATTACAAAAATACAGAACAAGACATCACGAGTAAACATACTGTTGTAGAAGAACTCCATAAACCGGCGAGAATTTTCTTCATCGTGCAACAATAATTAAAGGAATTGATGATTATTTGATGATATGGCAAGCAGATCTTATTGACGTGAAAAAATATTCTAGTTTTAACAAAGGCTTTAAATATATACTTGTTGTGATTGATACACTTTCTAAGTTTGCATGGACGGTGCAAGTAAAATCAAAAGCGAAAGATGATATTGTAAAAGCTATGCAGCTAATTTTAAATATTTCGTGTCGGAGTCCTTCTTACTTACAAACAGATTTGGGGAAAGAGTTTTATAATGCTCCTTTTCAGAAGTTAATAAAAAGTATGGTATTAAACATTGTTCAACATTTTATTTAAATAATTTAAATTTGTCTGTTAAATCATATAACAATACTGTACATCGCACTACAAATTTTAAGCCAATGGACGTAAATGAGTCAAATGAACATATTCTCAAATCCAATATCCAAAGTTCACAAATAAAAAAATCTCCAAATGCAAAATATCAAGTTGGAGATCCAGGCCCGCCACGTATCTACCGCGTTCGGACGTACACATTCGCATTATAATGAAAGATGCGCGGGATGCATCGCGAAAATATGCGAATGTGTGTGCGTTTGTACACGGCACGCAGATACATATAGTTTGTATGGAGTTACTATACTTGTCTTATTATACTAAAGCGCATTGGCGCACTACATCCGATTCGTGTTCTTTTCGAATCTGAGAAATGACAGTTCGAAATGTCACAGGGATAATTTTATCTCATCGAGTATATAACCAGAAATAGAGAAGAAATAAGGGCCATAGATTCCTGGTAACACATTAGCGATATAGCTCTTATAAATATCAACGTTTGTACTGTACTCGTTTGTACTGAAATATAGACAGGCCAACTACCTGTTTGTACGTCTCCGTATATTCCAAAAAATATTCTGTATTTATTGTAATAAAGATAATATCTCTAACAATGCCTTGCTGTTCTATTCGGTGGTGTGGGAAAAACAGCAAACCATCTAATTACAAAACAAACGGAATCACATTTCATCGGTAATTAAATATTAAATATGTAATTTTGCAATTTTCGTCCATTATAGCAAAGCTCAAGTTAACTGGTAGATTTGAAGTGAAACAGTTGACGACACCCATTGACGACACCCGTCAATTGTTTCGAACTCGGGCTAGCCAATCGGAGCACAGTTGTCACAGTAATGAGATGGCAGAATAGTTTTCAAACAAACTAAATGACATTTCGTCTCTATTTCTGATTATATACTCGATGTTTTATCTCTAGGTGTATAAGCGATATTCGTATTTTATCGGATTTGAATCGGACTTAGTGCACAAGCGACCTCCGAAGTATCAATCTAGATCAGTTCGCACCATAGTATCTCAGAAAGGTGTGATATTTATATCCCTATCAGAGATGTAGTGTAGTCAACAGCACTTCTAGCTATATAGTTTTGTTCTTCCCGGCGCAATCAGCCATCTGGTATGGAAACCAATATATTTCTGATGTTAAGAGTCAATACTGCCTCAGCTCGAATTTCAATTTTTCCCCATACTAACACGGTTCATTTTGCTTGCAACAGCAGAGGCACTGGCTTTATTTCAGAATGTATTTTTCTACAAACGAAATTAAAGCGATTTGAAACATGTATATCGTATAGTACCTGTACGCGTTCTATTTAGTTCAGTTGATATAAAAATCATTGTTGTAAAACTTCGAGATAAGTTTATAATTTTTTTCTATCGTGAAATTTTCTAGGAACCGTGTTTTCACACCATATAGTAATCAGTGTATACCCTCAATTTTACTATATATTTTTTCCAAAGTGATTCATTCAACAATTTCACTATTATGCGGAATCAACCAAAGATATTTGAGGTTGCATCGACTCTAAAATTAAAGTGGGTATCCTAAAGTAACCTGTTGCGGTTCAAGGTATCCTTGCAGGTCCTCATCCATCAAAAATGTGAAAAACTGTTATCCGTATTTCTTAAAGTATGCAATAGCTACATGAAAAAGAAGAACGTTTTCATATACGTTATTGTTCTTTTTCTACTCGTTCTTTTTTAATTATTTTTTCTAGGTTTTCTACTAAACTATTTGACTGCATAAAATGAATACGAAATTACGTATTTTGTCGTACAATTATTAAATTGTGTAGATACTTGAAAATATGTAATAGACTAACTGTAAATAACAACTTTTATTTAAAAAAACCGACCTCAAAATTTTGCATATCCGCTTTCGCTGTGTTTGTTACATCTATTTGCCAAGTTTTATTGATATCGGTCAACGGAACGTGGGTGAAATCCAATAAACCGGATTCATCCCCTAATTTGTCTCCCTTAAAAGTGGGATATATTCTTGAAATTTGGATGGGACCACTACTGAAGTACCTCTTTTCCAACAAAAAAGAACCATCGAAATCCTTTCACAAAAGTCGACTTATTCGCGTAACATACACACAAAACAAAACAAAAATATAATCGAATTAGAACATCCTCTTTTTTAAAAATATGTTAAAAAAACGATAGTTCAAACTTTATCTGTTTTGAAAATATCGAACAAGTTCCAAACAATTGCGAATTCCTGGATGCAGAAATAGGACTAGTAGCGCCATCTATGGATCTCATTGCGTACTATGCACACCTTTAACTAACTACCTTCACATAAAAGTATGCATAAACCGTATTTCATTAGTATGCGTCTGAAATTAGCATTAAAAGTTGACGTGTCATGACTTCAGGAGCGCAAAACAAATGTCGACCACCTTTGTACGCATCGTAGAACTAAATAATAAGCAAAAATATATGCGAAATTGTGACGTTCATTTTCCAGCCACAACATAACGGGAATTTGACGGTAATAAATTTGAACTTTATTGTTATTGTCATTGGGATAGCGATTGGCGAATATCGGTAGCGCGAGTATGGAGGGATGCAGCGGCGATCGCGTGCAGCGGTTGTCGCAGTCGCCTGGCACCGCCATCCGCCGCGATTGAGGAACTACAACCGAAAACACCCTCCACCGCTGCTGTAAACAAAGCCCACTGCCACCCGCCAACAATTGAATAGAGCTATAAAAACTTCCAAAACTCCAAAACAAGGCGAATCCTCACGTGCCGCTAACACACCAAGCCGAATATTAATTTTCCTAAACTGCGTAACGCCAAGGTTAATGTTCTAAGGACATTCCGTTACTGAAACCACCAAGTATATGGCCCACCCCTTCGCGAATAGAAACTAGCTAATTATCCGTCGAGCTTTAGCCCTCGGCAAACGTCACAACGCGAATTTACAATGCAAATCACTCGCGGAATATTAGTTATAACGTCAGCGCAGAAATTCAAAATTACTAATTTTGTTACAATACGTCTCAGTCGGTCCTTCGGCACGCCTAGAGGAAGGCACCTTTACCATGTTCTCGTCAATTTCTTCGTATTTCTAAAAATACTAGCTATGGAGGGGCAAGTACGTATATTTCGTGAGACTATCGGCGGTAAAGACCAGAATGCATGCATGCATCAAAATTGAGTAAGAACTAACGGGAGTCAATCAATTTTATGTGCTGTCGAACCGCCTACGAAGATTGCGATTGCAAAAATTGCATACGGTTGTCTGTGGTACCACTATTTGGTGGCATTCGTGCAGTGCCAATCCGCAACTAGCGTGAGTTGGTGTCTAGCCGCGCTGCCCCGAATGGAATTCAGTGCAGAGACTGAGGGAGTTTCGGCGTCATGTCTGAAAACGACCGCGATGCGCCGCGGAGTGCGAATTTGAGTGTGCGTTCAAGTACCAGAAGTCCACCTGCCAACCTTCAGGCTAAAGACTTGCAGAAGCTCGAACTCAGCTTCATAGAGCTGAATAAAGAGCGCGCACGACAGAAGGAGTGGAAAAAGCTAATTCGCGACATGGTGTTCCAGAGGGGTAAAATCCCGTTGCTGCTGGCGGTGGAGGCGGGCAACCAGAGCATGGTGCGGGAGCTACTCTCGGCGCAGACCGCAGAACAACTGAAGGTAATCGAGCAAATTGTGTTGATTGTATGATAAGTATATCATATCAGATCTTGTATGTTTCACGTAATTATATCGCGTAACCTATTCTAAAAACCTCAAATCAATAACTTTGAATGGATTTTTAAAAGTTTTGCTTCAAATTTTCTTTTGTGTCGTCACGTAACACTGACATTTACTTACAGTATATTCGCTATATTTGAACAGTTTCATTCTTGAATGTAACTGATTTTGTGTATATACGTGAGTACATACGAGTATGTTTGTCGTTGCAAAACGCGCAGGTATTGGTGTAAGCCTGTTAAGATACTTCCATGAAATCTAAAACAATAAGACTGATGTTTAAATCGGAAATTGTAACGTGCCTGTTAGTGTTGTTCTTATTTCTATCCATAGATAGTCTCGACTAAAGTTAGTAAATACCAAAATGTTCAGGCTAGTACACCGGCTGGTGACACAGCCCTCCACCTAGCAGCCAGGAGACGTGACGTAGACATGACGCGTATTCTGGTGGACTACGGTGCTTCAGTGGATGCAGTCAATGGCGCGGGGCAAACTCCGTTGCACATCGCGGCTGCTGAGGGAGACGAGCCTTTGGTCAAATACTTCTATGGCGTTAGAGCTAATGCTGGTATTGCGGATAACGAAGGTAATTTCATAGAAAATAAGAACATAATGTGCGTAGAAGATAGACTTTGTTCCATTATTATTGATGCAACTATCGAACTACACAAAAATTCCTTCGACCTGATTGGGCTCGAACCAGTGTCTGTTGCCATGCCGTGCCTGGAGTATTTTTTTATAATATCAAGTGACAGGACTAACAAATCGTACGCCTGATGGTAAGCTACACGCCTGTCCGTAACAGTTGAAGTGCCACTCAGAGCACCGCGCCCGTCACTCTGAGACATAAGTTGACAAGTCCCATGTGCCTGTAATTTCATCAGCAATTTCAGAAACAGACTGTATGCGGAAAAAGCAACTCAGTTGTTTTTGATAAAATTCCAGAACGATTGAGCTAGGCCGTTTGATTGTTTTCATGCAGATTGCTTTTTTTGTTAATAAATGTCACAAAACCTTTGAAATAAAACTTTTTAGAATACCAAAGAAAATAGAAAGCTTTTTCACGTAGATAGGATGTAGGTTTTTTACGCATCAGCATTCGCTGATGTGTAAAAAAGCTATATTTAGCCATTGGTCAATGTATTTAGCAGATGTATTGCAGTCACCGTATAAGTAATCACTGTATACAGAATTTTACTACATATTCTTTCCAAAGTAATTGATTCAACACCTTCACTGTTATCCAGAATCAACTAACGCCATTTGAGGTTGTATAGACTGTTAACAACATGAACTATTCTTCATAGAGATTAATGTTCTGTATATAATAAGAAGTAGATACATACGTGTTCTAAATACATTCGTTCCAGATCGGACACCTATGCATCTCGCAGCAGAGAATGGGCACGCAACGATCATTGAACTCCTTGCTGACAAGTTCAAAGCATCAATCTTCGAAAGAACAAAAGATGGAAGCACTCTGATGCATATTGCGTCGCTGAATGGACACGCTGATTGTGCTATGATGCTGTTTAAGAAAGGAGTATATCTACATATGCCTAATAAGGTGAGTTCTTAAATAGACATAGTATCTTTATTTCATCATTGTTGTAACACATAAGTGCTCATTCATAGGCAGATTCCCCTGAGAAGAATGAGCAAGAAACTCTAGAGGTTGCTCTTTGTAAATATACATTTGAATACATTTATCAATACAATATTTAATTTAAACATCTTGGATTGAGAATACTGAAAGAGCTAAACGGGTAACTACCAAGGATTATTGTCATCCATGTACGCAGAAGAAGAAGAAGTTGTATGTTGTTTGTTGTTGTTGTTGTACGTTTACTATAAAGTTTTTGCTTCACAATAGTTTTAAACCTTGTAAACGGCAAATTTTGAAGATCAATTGGAATCGTTGAATGAATTTGAGACTTTGTGAAGACAAGAACAGCTAGTTTCTTTTAATTCTTCGTATTAATGATCTCACCATGAGCCCTGTAAGGGCATTGCAAAAACAAAATTTAAGATGTTGAATAAAATGAATTATTAACAAATGAGATAGACGACATCTTATTAAATAATAAATGAAATTATAAAACAAAAAAAGATTTTATAAATATTTACTATTAATTACAGTTCCCAATGAAATGTGTGGATAGTCAAAACTAAAATCCGTAGTAGTGATCTGTTTAGCTCTTGCAGATAGTCTCTATCAATGTTTTTTTAATGTAAATATTGTAAATGATAAAATAAGATTATAGATATATATGTATAATTAATTACAGATGATAAATTGTGATAAATTTATATAGAAAATGTTTATTTATAACGAGAGTTTCTTACTCCTTCTTATCTTCTTCTTGAATTTACTTTAAGAATGAGTAGTAGAGTTTAGTCAAAATAGCGATATTAAATATAATTTGCTTACATAGAAATAAAAGTTATTTGGGTTTGAGTTAGAGTTTTCGAATACTAGAATCAGATAATTCTTCCGTTGGAGTAATGAAAAGGTGTGGCAAAAATATTAAATTGTTTTACTAATTTAAGAATAGTAGAAATGCCATTCCCATACCAAGCTATCAAATTTTATTTGAAGCTATCAGCGTAATAGTTGTGTAACCCTCATTACTTTGTTTAACTACAATATTACTTTAAATTGTAATTAAGTACATAATTATCTTATATTGGATGCAATTTTCATAAATAAAAATTTTTTTATGATTTTTTTATCCACATATAAACTGTAAACGGTAAGTTGTAAACTCTATTAAAATATAAATCTCGCTGGCAAAGATTCAAGCAAGCGCAAACTAAACTTAGTCCTTTGTTGTCACTATCAAAAAGGCATTATATTTATTTATTTATATTCGTTTGTTATACAAATACGTACCATTTTATACAGTGGTGTTAAGAGCATCGATTAATTTCATAGATGTAGTATTTATGTGGTCTGTGAACCTAACAAATAATGAAATCTCCTGTTAGTAGACAGATAGATAGATAAAACGTTTATTCAGCACAAATACAAGCATAAACAAACATTATAATCACTTAACAAGGTATAACACAAAAGCACAAGAACATAAATTAATACACTTTGATAAAAAACATATTTATAGAGAAAAACAAAACTTTAAACTGTTCATATAACTATTAAAAAAGTAAAGGATATTCTTTGGAATAGACGAAATGAAACTATATTTAGTATACATTACGTTTGTTTGAATCGACGTAACGATACTTTTATCAGGGTTATTAAAAGCAGGTTTGTACTAGACACGCAATATGATAAAAATTAATATTTAAAAAATGCGTTTGTTTCTTTATTGTTTCATTGACTATTTTAATTCTCTACACGGTAAGGTCCATAGTCCTTGAGAACACCGGAAATAAAAGCATTAGTTACAAAATTGTTGTGTGGTTTATTTTGTGAAGCTTAAACTCCTTGGTGGGAATTGGTTTCGTTTGCCGTCTAACTTAATTTTAAGTTTCCATTCCGTCACCAAACATCAAAGTTACTGAAATGCAAAAAATGGATTGTATATACAAATTTTGCAGGCTGATTTCATATAACATTTCCTTCATATTTACACATAGCCTTTTGTCTATTCTTAAAGTAATGCACCCAAATTAACACCCTTGATAAGAAATTTCAATTAAATGGAAATTTTGGCCGTCTCCTGAATAATCATTCTTTATAAGATAAGAGTTTGAGAAAGTAAGGCATCGTTGTAATGAATAACCACTCGATTGATAGTGCAAATAGATTTATAGATCAGTTCCCCTGACTTCCTAGTAACTCTACCACGCATATCGTGACCTGTGTTAGAGTAATGCCATAGTGTAAATAAAATAAGTAGGGTAACTACTTACAGTTGTGAAAAAGTGGCGTGTATGTGTGCACGTCCGCCACGCGGTTTGTACAGACGCACATATTCGCATAAACTCGCGATACATTCGAGTTGTATAGCGAGTGTTGTCACATGCGGTGTTCGTTACAGAACTGAAGCTTTCGCTCGGTGTTTAAAAAATGACGTCAAATAGTAGATGTCTTTATTGTTTTGTTTATGGTGATTTGAACAAGACTTACTGGAAATCCAAAATTGTTCAGCATTTCATTTCTTTTTCATAATCGTTATAATTATAAAAATATCTATATTAGTACTGAATAATAGAATAATTAAACACGCTAATTTTTAAAATTATGTTTACAACTTGTACTTACATCTAAAATCTCAAACTGCCTCTGTAGCCAAACGGTTACCATGCTGGTGGCAGACCATGCTGAGATCCCGAGCCGAGGTTCGTTTCCCGGGCCCGGAGAAATAATTATTTCTATGGCGTATATTTATTTACCTCGTGAGTTTGGGTGTAATTTCTGGTTATCTATGTGTGTATCCATAACAACCGCGACACAGGGTTTCCCTAGTGAGTGCTATGAGTGTGTGCGTTGAAAAAATGTGACAATGTTGCTCTCCGAGCGAAATGTAGTCATTGATGTGCCGAACAGGCTACCGTTGCCATAATTGTTTTATATGGTAATGTGGTTTTGTAATTCGAAATACTATAACGTAGGTAAGAAAAAGGAAGCCTCGAGTTGAAGCTCATGCCCACTGAAACTTACGTGGCTCATAAATTTCTTGAGGATATTACGAGCTCACGCGATTAACAACTTAGCTGTCGGGCTTGCACTTTTTCAGTAATGGCTTTGCATATTTTGAAGCAATAAAAATCGCTGCTAGTGCTTTCTTTCAAATGAAAATTATAGTCATTAGGCTTTGCAGATATGCATTCCACTTCGTTATTACATTCTGACTAAAAACTTTTGAGAGTTTGCATTAATTTGTTATTACTATAATTGGATCTGTTTTTTTTTAATTTAGTACAAGGAATTTTGTTCGAAATAGGTAAAGTAGTAATTTGGTAATTTTTATTGCATTTTGATATTACATGTACGTTGTATTTTGTTTTATAATATCATGTGACGGGACAAACAAGTCGTGCGTCTGGTGGTAAGCGACACGCCTGTCCATAACAGTTGCAGTGCCAATGAGAGCTTTTAATCGCAAAGATCTTAGGGGAACTGCCACTGCGCCCGTCACCCTGAGACACAAGTTGACAAATCTCATGTGCCCTAACACCCTTACCCTTCCAAACGTAATGCGGTAATGCTCACATAAATGCGTAGCGGCAGAAACAGGTAAGGTAGCAATACTTCTCTGGACCGAACTCTTTCACAAGGAATTCTACTACTAATGTATGATTTTGAATATAGACTCGAAGTATGTTTATCACTAATTATAGGTTTCTTACCACGATGATTGCTTTTCATTTTCCCGATATTTCGGAATGGTTACTCGGTCCAAGGTCACAGAGTTACTAGCTAACGACAGATGGCAGCTTAAGGACAGACTATTTGTCTACCCGCTTTCGTTGTCAACGACTACCTTCATTATAATTGAGATGAAATGTCTTATAAGCCCTACTCTCGTCTCTTCTTACTGTCATCAACAAATAACATTATTAATATTAACGCACATTTTTTTTTTTTTTTTATACCTGACAGGCAAATGACTCCACTCCATATACAACATAGCCCCGCACTAGGGAAACCCTGGGTCGCGGGCGCCATGGACACACATAGATAAACACAAATTACACTCGAACTCACGAGAGAAATAAATGTAGGCCATACAAATATTTCTCCCAGCCCGGGAATCGAACCCGGGACCTATGCGTGGCAGTGCAGCATGGTAACCATTCGGCCACGGAGGCAGTCAAACTATGGATGACCTATGGGACTACTCTCGAAGTCCATCAACGAAAAGGCGGGCGCTTTCGAAACTGTCAAATTACGTTGTCATACATTCTTAGTTCTAGCTCCGATCGAAACTCAAGTCTGTAGGTAAT